CTGTTGTGGTCTCTTTTATGCTTCATGGTTTATCCTGCAAATGTCATTTTTCAATTAATTCACATTTGCTTCCTTTCCTCTTGTTTATTCGCTTCTCTGTAATCAGATAATTGCATTTATACTTTTCACCAGTATAGCTCTCATATTGTGTTGTTACCATTTTATTGTGTGTTTGTCTCCCCAATACCTTGAACTTTTTGAGGGCAAAAACCTTTGACAAGGTTTTTCTGACTCAGGCACAGTTCCTTGAACATGGGATTCACTCACTCAATGAATTTCTATTTCCCTACCTATGCAGTCATGGCCTTTCTGATTACTAGATAGAGGTTTGCAGTCCTTTGTGTACAAAAGGTTCCAGAGAGGAGAGGAGCTATTTTAGGTCCTCTGTATATAAATATACATTTCACTTTTTGTCCACCTGATCATATTTAAAGACTGATCAATCCACTTCCTGCCTTTTTTGGGGAAATAGAAATTTCTAGAGGTGATGATTTTAAGTTGAATAGCTTTGATGGTATTTGCCTGTCTCTCAATTGCTGCACCCATGAGCTCCTTGTGTGTGTGTAAAAATGTCCGTTAAACTTGCTTGTTATATGCCACATGCTCATGAACTAATACATCGCCTGAAATCAGATCAAATGTAGTACTTTTTGGGTGTGAACCTCATACCCTGACATATCACATGTTAAGCTTTTTTATTTAAATAATTTTTATGTTTCAGATAATAAAGCTCCTCCAAGGCAAGCAGGATAGGCTGTTTCATGAATCAGTTAGGATAGGCTGTTTCATGAACCAGCCTATGAAAGTATAAAAATAATGAGCATGTTAAAAATTAATTACAGTTGTAAATTGATTTTCTTTTGTTGGCAGAAAGAACGTAGTGTATTAGCCTGGGAACAGGTTCACACTGTTTTAACATTCAGCACTTCCAGCCGAAGCTTGTTAGAGACTGCCTCTCAGATTAAGGAGAAAAAATCCTCACCATGGTACATGAACTCCTATTGTTAGGACATAAATAATCTGCTCATCCCCCACGTGGATGAGAACAAAGAACATAATAGTACACAGAACAAAGATTAAGCAAATATTGCCCAACCCCATTTAAGAGGTAAATTAAAAATATTCTGTGTATAAGGAAGTTTTCATTTTTCCTTTGTAAATGCATCAGTCATGCCTTAGGAGCTAGTCAGGAGAAAATACTTTGGCTTTGAATTAGAGTGATTATTTTAAGTTAAGTAAAATGAAATCTTTTAGTTAGTGTCAATATGCTGCTAATGTTGAAAGCTAGGGAAATACCATTGTCTTGATAACAAGATGCTTCAGATTTTATGGAGTTTATTTTCAAACCAAGAACTAGAATTTCTTTTTTTGAGGGAAAACGCCAGTGGAAGCATTATTAAACTTTAGAGGTGGAGGTTTATTTATAGTACCTTTACTCAGTTTTCCCCAATAGTAACATCTTGCAAAACTGTAGTACAATATCACAACCAGGAAATCGGAGTTTATACAACCCATAGAACTTATTCAGATTTCCCACTTTGACTTGTATTCATTTGTATGTATCTTTGTGCATATTTGGTATGTGAAATTTTAGTCCATGTGTAAGTTTGTATATTTTCCACCGGTCATGATACAGACCAGTTCCATCATCTCAAGGACCCCTTCTTTGATAACCATACCCACTTTCCTCCTGCCCCTTCCTTCAATCCCTGACAGCCATTAATCCTATCTTTAAAGTTTTGTCATTTCAAGAATTTATATAAATTAGAATTATATAGTAAGTAAAATTTGAGATTGACGTTTTCTCATTGTAATTAAGTCCTTGAGATTCATCCAAATTATTGTGTAGGCTAATAATAGTTTATTATTTTTTATTGCTGAGTAAGTACTTATAATATGAGCATAGCATAGTTTGTTTAACCATTCACCATTGAAGGACATCTGGGTTCTTCCCAGTTTTTTGGCTATTACAAATAAAGCTACTGTGAAAATTCATTCTGCATGCATAGAAATAATTTTTCCAAAGTTGTATATATTTTTCAAGAACTTCTTATTCAGTTTTGCTATAGCAATATTTTAATAAACTGGCAAAGTACTTTTAAATTGTTGGTACATTTATACAGTGCATTATGGAATATTCTTCTAAACTTTGTGTGTTGTTTTTGTGTTGATATGGTAAAGTTAAGGAATAACAAAACAAATATCTGAAATTGTTATTTTTTAATGTGAAAAATCACATCCTTATTTAATTATTTAATTATTGGCTTAAATTTTTTTGTATTAGCTTTTCCTAGATCAGATCCCTTCCCCACAAATTGAGCATTTACCTTAATATTTGGAAATGCCTTTTGACTGCTACATCTTAAAATGATACTGTATTTTTTGCACAATTTACATGATTTATATATCCATGAAATCCTGGTAGAACTGAGTGACTTTAAGGGACTCTCTGGTTCAACTTACTGCCTTTGGAAATTTGTTGTAATTAATGTGGTAAATGTAATATAATACTGTAAATATTATAAGTATCTGAAAATATTCATGAAATTTTAACTCAGTTAAGGGCAGATTTTGTGTTTATGAAAAATATGGAAGAAGAGTAATTTAGTATATTATTCAAGTTAAAGAATTGATCAAATATATGAGGATATTTGAAGCACAGGAAATTATAAGTTATAATTCTATTATAAAGAAATGCCACTGGCAAAGTACAAGATAATCAGTGGTTTCTTTTATATGAAAAGAAAAAGAACTAAAGAAACCTGCCATTAATAATAAAGGGTGCCCTGCCTGGTTTGGCTCAGTGGGTAGAGTGTTGGCCTGTGGACTGAAAAGTCCCACGTTCAATTCGGTCAAGGGCACATGCCTGGGTTGTGGGCTCGATCCCCAATAGGAGGCAACCGATTAATAGTTCTTTTCCATCATTGATGTTCCTCTCTTTCCCTCACCCTTCCTCTCTGAAATCAATAAAAATATATTTAAAAAATAATAATAAAGGGAGATTAATGAGTTTCAAATGACTATTACCTACTTTATTTAGCAAATGGATTGAAATTAATGAATATATTGTGCCATAATAGACTCTTAACTCTTACGTATCTCTCACTTGTTACAATTTCAGGTCTACTTTTATCATGATTTCCACCTGTTTCTAAACTGGGAGGGATATGAGGTTGTCTTGACTTTCAGCAATAATTACTTTCAGCAATACTTACTTTCCCCCCAAAGACTCCAGTACCCCGTGGCTCCCATCCTGTTCTGTCTCACCCTTCATTCTAAAGGTCTGAAGCAACCCATATTGTAAGAGCTATGACCTCAGGGCCTTTCTTTAAACCTCTTTTAAGATCTGTTTTAATATATCTTCATTTTTCTTTTTGTTACTATTTGATGTGTCTTATTCTGTCCTTTGACTTTTAACCTTCTGATAGTCTTCTGTTCTAGATGTATCTTTTAAGCAGTATATAGTTGGGTTTATTTTTTTCAATTAGTCAATCTTTTTCTTTTATTTGTAGTATTTATTTAGTTTACTTATAATTATTGTTGTAATTTTTATATTATCTTATTTTATATTTTTTTATTTTATTAAAATAAAACTACCTGTTTTATTTTCTTTGGATTTATCATTTTTATAACTTAGTTTTTCCCCACTCTGCTAATTTAGATGTACATACTCTTTTTAAAAATATATACTTCTTTATTGATTTCAGAGAGGAAGGGAGAAGGAGAGCAAGAGAGATAGAAACATCAATGATGAGAGAGCATCATTGATTGGCTGCCTCTTGCACACCCCATACTGCAGGGGATCGAGCCCGCAAGCCAGGTATGTGCCCTTGGCCAGAATCAAACTCAGGACCCTTCAGTCCGCAGGCTGATGCTCTATCTACTGAGCCAAGTCGGCAGGGCGAAGATGTAGATACTCTTGTTTCTATTCTCTTACTTGCTATGCAAAAAATTATAACATAAATGCATATTTATACTTGAATTACCAAAGTTGAAAGTTAATGAATACTTCTGTTTTTCTCTCAGATGCCACTGGACCTTAGAACATTTCTATTTTATTTTCTCCGCTTCCAATATATATTACTGGTATTGCGTATTTATCCTGTTTTTACGTACTTATTTATTTTTTTTTAGAGAGAGGAAGGGAGAGGTATTGAGAGAAAGACATAGATCGGCTGCCTCTTGCACACCCCTTACTATGGGGATCAATCCCAAAACTTGGGCATGTGCCGTGACCGGTAATTAAACCGTTGACCTCTTTATTTCCTTGCCCAAAACCTGGGTCGACACTCAGCCACTGAGCCATGTTGGCCAGGCTATCCTATTTTCAAACCCATAATACATTATTATTATTAGGTATACAAGAAAATTCATTCCTTACATTTCAGACCTTCTCAATGGGATCTCTTCCTCTTGAAGGTACAGTTTAGGAATTTCGTTGATAAGGGATCTTGTTATAGCAAACCTTTGGTTGTTTTAGTTTAGGGTAGTCCTTCTGGTGTTTTCCTGACTATTTAATTGGTAATCAGTTTTTAAAGCAAGACTAAGCCCATTTCAGAAGGATGTATTTCTTATTGCTTGTCCATCCAGCTACCCAGCTCTGAAAAAGGTCCACATCTACATTTTAACTCGATTCTCAAGGGAGTTTACATTTGATATTCTGAAGTATTTAGAAACTCCATAAAATTATTAAGTAGAGAGAAGGAATGTGATTTATTTGAAGTTTTTTAAAGGTTAGCAGTTGCATGTGACTCATTAACGGAACAAAGCTGTCTCGTGGAATCCTTAGTGACTTACTGTTAGTTTGATTAACTAGGACATTAAGCATATCTACAAATTTGTGTATACTAGTATACATTTTATAGTAGTAACATTCTTTGTACATATTCTTGTGAATTCAATTATATATTTTTATCAAAGGAATTATAAAGTGTTTTAGAAATAAAGTCGTGATGTACTCATTGCTACATTTTCTTATAACAATGCTTTCTTACATTTAGATTACCTCTCTAGTGACCTTGCAGCTATTAACCCTGGTTGGCCATGATGACCAGCTTGATGGACCAAAATACAAATGCACAGTATCTCTAGACTTCATCAGAGCTATCGCTAGGTAAGCATAGAGTAATTGTGAACATAAAATGTCTTGAATTATGGAAATTATATACTAAATGTAAAAATTAATGTAATATCATTACCGTATTTTTCGGACCATAAGACGCACTTTTTTCCCCCCAGAAGTGGGGGGAAAAAGTCCCTGCGTCTTATGGTCCAAATATAGCCTACACATATACTTTAAAAAAAAAGTTTTTTTACTTGCCCGGCTCTGTGTGGTCTCTGTGTGCTTGCCCGGCTCTAAAATGGTTCTAAATGCTGCTGTTTACTTTACAGGGTTGATTACATGTGTTTATGACTGTGATGTTGGGTTTTAATGCACATAAAATATTTTAGGACACTATTTGTTTCAGAATCTTTTTTTCTTCATTTCCCTTCTCTAAAAACTGGTGCGTCTTATGGTCCGGAGCGTCTTATGGTCCGAAAAATACGGTAGTTATTTAAGCAAGGAAAGAATATTTAAGTGCCACAAATGAATAAGTTTCACTGTAAAATGAACCCTCTTATCAAATTTACAAATGGCATAAAATTGGGAGAATTAGCTAATATGCTGGATGGCAAAAATTAAGATTCTTAAAGACAACAGAATGGAAAAATGACCCCTTAATAGCAAGGTCAGATATAATGACAGTTAACACAAAAAAAAATTCGCCTATGTAATAAAACAAGGTGGGAGAGACTTGGCTTAAGTTCTGGGTATCTGAGCTGACTACATGGTTTTAAACATCCTGGTGTCTCATTTAAGGGGAGTAAAAGGTCTGTCTACTATGGTGTTGCCTTAGGCAGGCCAAATCTGGTGTTCTGTGTTTGGAGTTTTAAGAGGGGCATTAACAAATGGGAATATGCTGAGGAGAAGGCAGGATGACAGTGGTGGAATGAGGAGAACCATGTCTGACTGAGGGACAGGGTGTGAGAAAAAACCTTATGAAGGATATGGTAGCTGTTTCAAGTATTTCAGGGGTTGTCATGTACAAAATGGGTGGAACTAATTCTGAGTCATCATAGAGCATTAGAAGTTCTAGGAAAGAACTGTTTGTCTAAAAATGCAACACGTTCTCACAAAGAGGTATATTTGCTGTTAGGGAAAACGTTCCAGCCATTTTATATGAGTAAATTACTTCATCTCATGGTTGCAGCTGGATAATAATCTGTTGGGACTTGTAGTAGAAGGGGTAATGTGAATGTAGACTGGCATGTGGCAAAAGATAACCCATAAAACAGTGCTTCCCAGCCTTCTTGAATATGAAAATTTTATTTTAATATTCTTTTAAAATTAATCATGAGAGTATGTACATTTATTTCAAATTAATAACACATAGTCGTGAAACATTACTTATTCCGGCTAAAAACAGTGCTTGACATTATGGATTTGCAGATCTCTAATGAATTAAAATTTTAAAATATACAGGTTAGCAACCTGTACTCTGAAATCTCTTCTGAATTAAAAGATCTGTGATTATATGATGCGGTATTTGAGATATTTTGGCATATAGACTCAAAAACATGAAATAAGGTTTTTGAAATGTGTTGTTACAATAAAATTGGGCAAATTTTTACACAGAAGAAATTGAGCAAAGTATTTTTTGACTGTATTCAGTATGACCATAAGGCAATAACTTTATTTTCAAACAATGGTATTAATAATTCTATATATAGGAGCTTATATCAAAGGCATAACTTTTGAATGAAGCACTTTTACTTCAGGAGTTTTGTCATTGCTTTAAGTGTGTTGAGTCGTGCCCCAGCATAATCATGAACAGGGCAGAGATTTGTGAATGCTCAGTATGGAGAATATGCAGTGAACCAAACTGAATTGGGCATTACTTAATCCACAATATCAGTGATGTTAGACCCATCCAGAGAAATGCAGTTCCATTTACCACTTTAGAAGGGACCAGGGATAGTAGACCTGGAATCTAATTTGCATCTGAAACCATGAAAAATGAGAGAAAGTACTTGCAGAGTACATAACTCCCTTTGTAAGTTAAAACTTCCTTTAGGCCAACTGGTGGGGATCTGTAGTTGAGCGGTGACCTTCAGCAGCATGTGGCAGGGTTGTGGGCTCTATCCCCAGTAGGGAGCATGCAGGAGGCAGCTGATCAGTGATTCTCATCATGGATGTTTCTATCTCTCCCTATCCCTTCCTCTCTGAAATAAATATAAATATACTTCAACTAAGCAAACAAAATTTCTTTAATGTGAATTGTTTGTCTCCAAGTCCTTAAAGCACAAAGTTATCTTTGGAATATGTTACATAATTTTTGATGTTGCCCTTGTGGCTATTCTGTCAAATATTTCCATGTCTTAGAATAATTAATTTGGGGATCAGTTGCCAAGTCATCTGTTTATATTGGGGGATGGTGGGATGATAAAAGTAGTCATGCATGTTGATCAGCAAATATTTTTTAAGGGAATGATCTTTCATATCCTTTTCCTGATTAATTTGGTTTTTAATTAAAAAGTTTTTAACTATATGATTCAGTTTGCTTGAATACTTCCAGGGGCAAAGCAGAATAGAGTATAATGCAGCTTTTATAAATGAATGCATTTAAATGCTTAGTACTTTTAAATCAGTTCATTCATCCTATTAAAGAAAATTTTATTGCACAAACTGTGCTATAGTTACACAAATAGATTACTAAGTAAAATAGGGAATCCTACCAGAAACAAATATTTTAATTTGTTTTTTTTTCTCTCCTAGTTTTAGTCCATTATACAAACAATTATGTCACAACATAGTACAATTCTCTGTTCTCCTTTCCCCTCTTAGTATAGGTATCTCTTCATAGTGATCATTTTGTATGGCTATGTAATATTCTATCAAATGTCTTTTAATCCCAGAGTATTAGAAGTTAAATTATTTTAATCTTTAGCTTCTTCTAAACTTTCTTTTTCACCCAATGTCAAAGATAAATGGCATTAAAACAGCATTAAGTTTACCTTATCACTTAAGGTTTATAACCTTAAGATCCAGTCATCATGGGGAAAGGTGCCTGGAGAGATGTACAAATTTCACCTCCCTTTTTACCTGTGGTTAAAAATAGCTATTATGTTTTCTTCTGAGATCCTCTGAAACACATCTTTTCAACCAATACCATGATTTAAATAAAATAAAAAAAAGTGATTTGTTAGTAATACCTTGTTGCTAGTAAGTGTTCTAGAACTGAATGAAAGAAAAACACATAAAACTAAAATAGCTTTTATGGTATATAACTATATCTTTTGTGGTTTTATGCCTGAGATAAGATTTTAAAAATTTTAGTACCTATTTTTAGTTGTTTTATAACTGCTAGTTATAATAAGGTTGTTTTGGCAGTGTTTTTATGCATTTGGAAATTTTTCAGAGAGGCACAGTTGTAATAAGACAATTAAGGTATTTTTCAGTCCACCATTAGGTACCACAATATCCATAGAATCTCATTTCAGCTATTTTTAAATGTTTTTTCATAAGCAGTATCTATACTTCCACATTCCAAATCTTAAAAAATATTTGATGTCAGTCATTTGGTTAGAAACATTTTTAGAAAGTATATTATAAAATGATAGACAAAAACATTAATTGGTGATGATTTAATAAATAAGAGCATGCAATTAGTGAATCTTTAGAAGGCTATTTTTCACATGGGTGATTATTTTTGTAGAATTGAATACTTTAAAGCTTTAATTTTATACTTATTGCTAGATCATTATATCTAATTATTTTGACCATTTATTCAAATAATAAACCTCTACGTCTGAATATTTATAGTGAAGAATGAGTTTGGAGGAAGGAAAATAATTATGTGTCTTTCTCTCACTGCTATTTATTCTGCCTGCTACAAGAGTACAAAAATATACATTCTCGTCGTCTGTTGTAGCATATTCTTGGATCATACAGATTTAGTTACAATACGCACACAGGTCAGCCAGTCTTAAAAGAATAAAAACTACAAATGAGGACAGATGAGCTATGCATTCTCTAATGACAAAACAGGTGTTTTGGAAGATAAACAGTATTCAAAAGCAAAGAAGATTTAAATACTTTTGCATCTCTAATTACTTTATTCTGATTATTAGACAAAAAGCAAATAGCTTTCAAATGAAATCTAAACTTTCTGCAGTATAATTGAAATGCAGAATGTTGAATAGTTCTAACTTCATTTCCTTTTTTTAGAAAAACAAACTTCATGAGAGGGAAAATAAACTTTTTAAAGAAACTCTTTTCCTAGTAACATTTTGAAAAATCATTGTCAATTCTATCATGGTGCTTTTGATAGCACCATAGGATTATTCACCATCAGTGTGAATTATTTTGCACGTGTTTCCCAGAGTCATACATGTAAAGCTGAGCAGTCTCGGGGGTGAGGATGCTAACCTATTATCTGTTTTTTGTTTATAGGACGGTGAACTTTGACATAATAAAATACTTGTATGATTTCTTGTGAAAACAAGCTTCAAAGCCATATGGACACTGTGACAATGACTAAGCCAAGCTGTGTTCATCCAACTACTTAGCTGGCCAGGGAGAGGAGTTCTTTGGCTCTACTGGATTTGTCCAGACAGGTGCTGGCCCAGCATGGAATCTGATGAAAATACTCTGATTGGTCTGGGTGGATGTGAGCTGAAGACTATTTACCAGGGGCCCTGGAGTATTTGGAAGCAATGTGTTAATTATAAACAGCAGGGTTTGAGCACAATCTGTTCTACTCTTAATGATGTTATCTTAACACTGAAATTGCCTGAAACCCATTTACTTAGGACTACATTTTGCTGTGAACCATTCCCTGCGCTTGGAAGGTGCCGGCAGCCCTTGTATATAAGCCCAGTCTTTCCACTTCCTCTCCACAGGAGCCTCTGCAGTTGCTTGCCAGAGCAGATTTTCCTAAGGCCACTGTTTTAAAAGATCATAGTTGCAAAATATAATAAATAGAGGTGTGCTTTTTTTGAAAATCCAAGCTTGTACGTTCGTATCTTTCACCTTGCTTTTCTTAAAAGGCCAAGATAGTTTGATCAGATCTAGGCCAACTTTCCATCTCTAAGCCTATTTTAACTAGGGTACTTAGATGAGGTTTACCTGGTCATTCTTGCCATTAACCGACCCAACCTAGCTTTTTAAATACTCATGATAATTTTCTTTTTTTAATCATTGAACTTAAGTTCCACAATAAATTTTTTTCCTGTTGGATCAATGAACCTTAGGGCTGATTTTCTTGTCTGTTCATATTTTTAAAGCAGCTTTCTGTTAGCATTTGAATATTTGGAAATTGTTTTGTGCAGATTTAAAGTGCTTAATTATAGAGCCTAGTTTAAATTTCAGTGGCATTTTATTCTCTCATTCCTTTCTTGAAGAAAAAGGCTCACAGTGAGCACTCCTGGATAGGAAGCCTTTTAAAAATGTAGTGGTTATCTGACACTTTCTGGATCTCAGAAAACAAGTAGTTGTCTACTTATATTTATTTAGTGGTAATGAATAGAGGGGAAAAAATTGAACTTCCTTTGTTTTTCCCTACATAAGACAGCAAGGATAGACTTTCTTGCCCAAAAGATGACATCCACAATGAGTGATAGAGCGCTCACACCCTGAGTCTCTTATTCCACAGAAGATGGTGAAATTTTTTTCCCTACAAGATGTTTAAAGAAGCCAGAGTCAGGGCAAAGCCATGTGCATTGCAAATGCAGGCTTAGATTTCCTGCATATGAAAACCCATGTGTCATTAAAGTAGAGAGGAAAGAGTCAAGAAATAAAATTACAGTCAAGTGCTAAATTATTAAAATGAAGTAGGTTGAGGCAAGAGAAAATTATTGTATCCTTGTTTTAGCCTGCAGACTTAAAATTTGAATTTTTAGTAGTCTATCAATGTCTTTATATATATCCTGTGTGTAGATCATTCTCTGAAGAACATAGGAAAGAATGTTCATGTGTCCAGACTACCTGACACCTGTTATCCAGATCACCTGACATCAATTATCCAGACCACTAGATAAAGATTACCATTTTGGACCAATCCAGAAGTTAAGAATGCAGGACTGATTTTTTTTTTTTCTTCTTTCTTAAGAATATACTTTTTACTGTTAAGAGCTCTCAGCTTTTTTCTTTTCTTTGGAACACTTGATATTGTTATAATTTAACCCAGTTATTAATTAACTGGAAAGGAAGAGAGGGAAGGCCAAATATTACATACATGCCCAATAAATCCTAAAGGAGAGTGCTTGTCAGTCATACCTGGGAACAGAGCATTGGTAAGAGGAGTCATATAGGCACGACCACTGCAAGAGCCGGAGATTTAATATTTAAACTCCTAAACAAAGAGGTTTCGTGTTGCTCTTGCTGCTGACGCCTGACTCCTGGCTTGCAGGGCTGTTAAAGCTCTGCACTCGCCCAGTGGCCTATAGCTTTGTGGACCCCATGGACTGATGGACTGGAATTAGTCTAATGCTCTGCCAGACTCTCCACCATGGAAAGGAAACTCTGAACACTAGCTTTGTTTAGTTCTGCTGGATTCCTAACTGCACCTCTTCCAGGACTGGATTAAGGTAAATGGGACTTTGGAAACTGTGGGATATAACTACATGCAAATAAAAATCATTTATTCTCCCTTGTGAGATTAAAAAAAAATTTTTTTTCAAGGTACCATAAAAACTTGGCCCCCTACACCCAGTGGGGAAAGGGATTCCCAGCTTCCATTGATAACACTCTGGGTATTACCTGGTAGTATTTCCAATTTGCAAGTCCTTAAATAAAATTTTGCTATTTTTAATTTTAACAAAGTCAGATTCATTTATGCTTGGTTGAAAGTTGGGTAGCTGATTCCTGGAAGAGCAATGCCATTGGGAAAATGTTCAGCCCTCATAGTTTGTTATAAAGTGGTTGGTCTGCTGGGATAGGCTGGGACCAGTCTCCATTTCAAGGGAAGGACTAGAATATCAGGAGGGGCAGAGATTGTCAAATAGGGAACCAAGGAGGACAGAAAGGCAGTTTCTTGTGACTCTCCATGGATTTTCCTCACTGTTGGCCACCTGTCCACTGCCTAGCACGTTACTTATCTCCTATGCCCTACACTGAGCTACACTGCAAAATACCTTGTAACTAGATTTTCCTGCTCCTGACTAGGCCATCAATCAGAACTTCCCTGTTTTGTAATTTATTCTAATGGCTGCTAAATAACTCACTAATTTGATTATTTAAATGAAGACTAACAAGAGCATAATATGGGTATTAGCATTTTACAAGGGTCATCTGCAAATGAGTTCTCTCTGGGAATTATGCTGGTTGGTGAGTCAGATATTTCCTTTAAGGGAGGACGTTCTTAAATTATACTGGGCATCTATTCTACCTTCAAAAGTGACTGAAGTAGTAGAAGAAGAAAGTTACCAAGCTGTGGGTTTTAGATTTTTTTTTATTTTTTTTTTTGTACGAGGTTAATCCTTTTTAAAATGTCTTCTTTCTATTACCATGATCCAGGTATACATAGTGAGGTGGAGACATTACTTCCTCTTTCCTTTATTAGGTCAATTGCAATCCTTGAATTCGCTGCTGAAGCAATTCCTTATTAATAACTCAAGGAATTGTGAACCAAAACCTTTTTTTTAAGCCCTAAAGTCAGAAAGGGATCAAGTTCCTAAGGCAGCAGTTAAGAGGGCTCTTGGAGTCAGACTCATTTGTATCAAATCCTGGTTGTATGTCCTACATGCTGTGTGACTTTAGACAAGTTATTGAATCTCTCTGCCTGTTTTCTCACCTGTATAGTGGAGGATAGAACTACTTCGTGGGGTTGTTAGGGAATTAAATAAACTATATACTTGAGGCAATAGTTCTCAACTAGGGGCAGTTTGCCTTCCAGGGAACATTTATAATTTCTGGAGACATTTTTGTCACAAGTAGGTGCAAGTGGGGAGATAGAGTCCTGGGATGTAGCTAAACCTCTTAAACATATCCCACAACAGAATGATCAGGATTACAGTGTCAATAGTACTGAAGTCAAGAAATTCTGAATTAACTATGGTACCTGTCACATAATAAGTGCTTAATAAATGTTAGATACTGTTATTATGAAATACTAGAGGCCTGGTGCACAAATTCATGCACCACCAGGGTCCCTCGGCTTGTCCTGTGGGTTTGGGCCGAAACCGGTTCTCCGACATCTCCCAAGGGGTCTCAGATTGTGTGAAGGTGCAGACCAGGCTGAGGGACCACACCTGTGCACTATCGGGGCTGGGGAAGGACTGCAGGAGGGCTCCAGGGCATGTTTGGCTGGATCCCAACAGCAAGCTAACCTACCAGTCAGAGCATCTGCCCCTTGGTGATCAGTGCATGTCACAGCGAATACTTGAGCAGCCTTAGCATATTATTAGCATATTACGCTTTAATATTGAAAGGCTGACTGGTCAACCGACACTTAGCATTTTAGGCTTTTATTATATAGGATTTATTTGTGGCCTAGAAAGAAAGTGAGAATGTGGTAACATTTCAACTAAAAAGAAGAGGTACTCGCTGAAACCGGTTTGGCTCAGTGGATAGAGCATCAGCCTACGGACTGAAAGGTCCCAGGTTCGATTCCGATTGAGGGCATATACCTTGGTTGCAAGAACATCCCCAGTAGGGGGTGTGCATGAGGCAGCTGATTGATGATTCTCTCTCATTGATGTTTCTAACTCTCTCTCCCTCTCTCTTCCTCTCTGTAAAAAAATCAATAAAATATATATTTTTTTAAAAAGTACTCTAACCTAACTGTACCTATAAAAATTATTGTTTAAAATTCGGGAATTATTTTTTTTAGTTTTTTAAAAAACTCTTTTTTTTTCTATCACCGTTTATTCTGCTTTCATGAAGTTTACAATTTAGCAAATAACCTTAGGATGATAAAAGAAATCCTCATGTTTTTGCAAGTTGATTCTACAAACCATTTCCAGTGAGAAAAGTCAGCTTCCACCTTCATACATAAAAGAAAAATGCCATCATCTCTTGTATATCCAAGACACAGCACCCAAGAGTTTTAAGGGTGGGAGAGAAGTTTCTAGAAAGAAACTCAGATCTAGTTTTGGTCTCTAGAAATTTCATTTCTCTGATATCAGATGAATCCAGCTTCTATCTGGGATGAAGTTGAACTACAGGCTCTATCAACTATCATCATCTCTGCCTTTATGGTCCTGTCAGCCTGTAACTATTCCTACTGAAAATGTCCAGATCTGCAGCAGATGCAATAGAGGTTTTCAAATAACCCTTTTGGATTGGTCACAGGGTTCTGAAGAGCCAGGTCTTCCTTCTTCAATGCAGCCCATCTTTAACCAATCTATCACCAACAGGAGAGAGAGACCAATTTTGGAATTATTTAAATTGATACAGTGCTTGGTGGTGGTATTTTTGGAATGGAAGGATTATGTAGTGGGTTCTAATCCATATGCAGATTTCATTACTTCTTTTTCAGGATCTTGTTGAATAGTCAAAACCTCATCTGAGAATGATTGAATAAAAAATAGATGACTAAAGAATTACATTGTTTCTCCTCAGGTATGATGTCTAGACAATTACTGATGTACCACAAATAGATTTATGGTAATTAAGTTGGTCTGGGGCATGATTCCTCAGTGAGAGGAAACTTCCTTAACCCCTCTAAAGTCTGCACCACTCAGCTTTACTACACAAAGAAAAATAATGGGCCAAATCCAGGAATAATGATCCTTTATAGTAGGGGTGTCGAACTCAATCAGAAAAGGGGCCAAAATCTAAAATCCAGCCTAAATCGCATGCCGAATGGTTTACTGAACAGTCATAAACTGTCATTGTGATGGAAACGCAGTGGAGTGCAGTGATGACAGCGCGGTGCGGGCCACATTGCAAGGCCTGGCGGGCCGGATTTGGCCTGCAGGCCGGATTTGGCCCGCGGGCCTTGTGTTTGACACGTGCTTTATAGCATTAAGTACTTAGTAGTTCTCTAAAATAGTATTATAGATGAAGTACAGCAACCGCCCATGTGTGCAGCCAGGGCTATAATAGTGTCCTCCCTTGCTACCTGATAACCTCACACTATTGTGTACCATAATTTTTTGCATTTCATGCCTTTAGCTATGAACTTGGAGGTAATTAGACCAGAGGTTGATATTATTCAACTTTATTTCCTACCTTTTTGAAGGCTTCATCTGCTACAAAGTGTGACTGTCTATCGTGAATAGTTTAGGTAATTTTGCATGTACCGTATTTTTCGGACCATAAGACGCTCCGGACCATATGACGCACCAGTTTTTAGAGAAGGGAAATGAAGAAAAAAAGATTCTGAAACAAATAGTGTCCTAAAATATTTTATGTGCATTAAAACCCAACATCACAGTCATAAACACATGTAATCAACCCTGTAAAGTAAACAGCAGCATTTAGAACCATTTTAGAGCCGGGCAAGCACACAGAGACCACACAGAGCTGGGCAAGTAAAAAAACTTTTTTTTTAAAGTATATGTGTAGGCTATATTTGGACCATAAGACGCAGGGACTTTTTCCCCCCACTTCTGGGGGGAAAAAAATGCGTCTTATGGTCCGAAAAATACGGTAATTTGAATCTGCTGACAAAAAATGCTTAGTAGAGCTCAAAGAAATCTTTTCTATCAAGATAGCAACATTTCACTCAAATTTGCCATTAAATGCCCTGAATACACAGTTAGTGTTCATTTTTCAGCAGTGACACATTTAAAAAGCACGGTATGAGAACTAGAAATTTGGTAGAGCAGAGAAAATTATAATCAATTCACTCATTTAACTGCATGTTGATGCACAGTAATCATGGGAATTTTAGAAGGCATTCAACTGTTTGAATAAATACTGGTGGCTTTGTCATGATGGGAAGAGCTTGGATTTTTAAAGCCATTAAAGATCAGCATGGGATTTGGATAAATCATCATTCATTTCCTTGGTCTGTGAAGGAGCTGCGAGTCTTACTTAACCACAGTTTTCACACAAGTATTAATCTTTCAACAAATACTAAGTACTGGCTGTGAGCCAGGCATTGTATTGGATTTAGGAGATAACAGATTTCTGGCCTGGACAACAAGTACTATCAGCATTGGTACAGCTATTTTGGAGATAAGAAATCCTGGGGGAGAAGTTAGGTAGGTCTGTGGCGTGAGGAAGATCATGAGTTCAAGTAGTGCTTATGAGTTATTCAAGTAGTAATATAAAGTAGGTGTTTGGATTTAGGTTAGAGATCAGAGTTACTATGAAGTATAAACTATAGGAGTCATCAGAACAAAGGTGGCCATTTAGTGAGTTAAAGGTCTTAGTTCTTGTAGTATCCATGATGTGGTGAGGGAGAAACATCTGGAAATGATTTAAAGAAAATATATATAAGGTGGTTATAACTATTGCACTTCAACTGAAAGTTTTTAATTTTTTTAAGTAACAATTCTCCACTATTCATGTAAAGTTCATTCCCTTCAGTGCATGAAGCAGCAGTAAGAGACCAACCTGGGCTAAGTGCCATGTACTATATGGTCTTAAAACTAAACACCAAGCCCACTTAGAGTTTTAGTTCTGTGAAGAATGTTAGATCCAAACACAATTTCACCACTTTCGGCTGACTTTCATAGTACAGTTGACCTTTGAACAAAAT